TTTTTTTTATTTGAAAAAAAGGCAACTTAGTGATTAACCACTAGTAGCCACCTGAAATTTGTATCATGAATGGTTATACAAAACATGTAACACTAGCTCTTATTTTCTCCTAGACTAATTAAATAAAATAAAATTAAAAATACGAATTTTGAACCTGGTTTAATATAATAAAAGTCAATAAATTAGGCAAAATAATTAGCAGATATTCAAATCAAAGATAAATTGGAATTCTAAAGCTATCAGAAAAATATTATTCTCAAAAGCCAAAGGTTAATTTTTTTATTTTTCTGATTAAGCTATGTTAATATTTGTTAAAACTAATTCTTGGCTTAATTTTGGCCAAAATTATAATTTTGCCAGAATTAAAAACATCCGGGTCGATCCGGGTCAAATCCGGGTCAAACACGAGTCAAGGAAATTTATAACCCGACCCGGCGGGTCGGGTCATGCGGGTCATGCGGGACACGGGTCATTAAAAATCGTTAGTACCGACCCGATTTAAAAGTCGAGTCGGGTCAAATTAACCCGGGTCGACTCGTATCATTCGGAGCACTAGGCCTAAATTTGGCTAATCTTATATTAAAATAAATTCATTAATAAATTCATTAGTATTTGGTTATATAAATAATATAGAAGTCATGATAAAATAATTAATAACTTAATGTTATTTGCGTATTTTTGCGGGATTTTCAATATCAGATGTCATTTATATATTTCTATGAGCTATACGTTATATGAGTAGTACGCATAATTAAGGGTCAGGTGGCGAAAAATTTTTTTACTGAGTCCTTGAACACTCGTCGCCTTGCCAATAAATATAGACTGTACATTATTTATTATTTATAATATCGGAAAAATACATTTTATTGTTATTGATTAATATTAAAAGTAATATTACAATTAATTTTTAATATTTGGACAATAATAATATTATAGTACATGGGCAATCTCACATGAATGTGGAAAACTTTTAAATGTGGAACTAAAAATTGTATCTGGCCGATCATTACGACACCATAAAAATTTTACTATCATGGGATCATAAAAAAAATAAGGTGTCACCAAATAATCACATGATAGGGATTTTTTATGGTGACGCTGAAAGTATGAGTCGATCTAATATTGTTTCCCAAATTAGATAAAAATGCTGTTTTTTTTAAAAAAAAAAATGTGGTTTATAGTAGGCCAATAAAAACAAGTAAAAATAATAGTAAAATAATAATGTAATAATAGAAAACATACTTGTTATCTCATTATGTATGACGTACATACCGATGGATTTTATACTTTTTATACTTTTTTCAGTGGAGTAATTTACAAAAAAAATCCATTGGTTGTATACAATATTCATTTTGAAGTCGTAAATAACCTTTCAATTTTAATAACTTATCGTGGTATGAAATGTTTTATCAGAAATTATGGGTAATGAAATAAAACATATTAGGCATGAGGATAAATTTGAGATATTGTATCTAATTGGCTTAATTTGTGTAACTTGATGGTAATAATTTCTTATAAAAAATCAACTTTACTTTTCTAGAAAAAAAAATTACCCTCGGTATTATTAATTATTTATTTTATCCACTTAACCGATATGTTTACTTACTGATAATAAATACTAATATACTTTACAATTGATAATTTTATTTTTCTATAAAATATGACGATAATCTTTTTCTAAATTATCTTATTTTTTTAAGAAATATTTGATCTAATTCCCGTAAAATAATCGGATTAAATTTTGAGTGAAATTAATAATGATATAATTAGATTTTATTTTTAATATTCTTAATTAAATTAATCAAATTCATGTAATTCAAAATAACGTATTTTTGGACAATCAATATGGAGTGGAAGCGCATTATCTGAACTAAAGTGATTTACAATTTTGGTTTGTTTATACTGCCATACTTCATCAAATTTTGGACCTCTTTTATTACATTTAATTTTAGTAAGAAGTTTACTTGCAAAAAACAAAAAATTTTTTGTATACAAATTTTTTTTCTTGGCTCTACATTTTATGAAATGAATTCAGTATAACGGACCTTGATTTTAGAAATACTAGGAGTATTCGAAGGGATAATAATATACTTATTAATACGGAATAAAATGAATTAACTTACAGATGCTATCATTTAAGTAATTAAATATTACCACGACAGACACAACTCATTGACTCATACTATCAGAACCGGCGGTCATTGTATATAATGATGAGAATATGGAAAACATGGTTAGGGAAAGTTCACGGTCATATTGCACAGTTATTAGAAGAGGTGCAGAAGCCAGACTCAACTGTTAACTTCAGTGGTGAGAGGGAAATGAAAAGGGTTAGGTTGCTACGAGAATGTCAAATTAGAATTTAAGTGCGAAGTCAGTGAAAAAAAAAAACATATGTTTAGAATAGGAACATAGGTAGCTTTATTTAACATAGAACTGACATGTACCAATTACTACTTAATACACGAATACCTACTTAATCATTCTACTTAAAGAGCAATCCAAATATCTGTCCAAGTTTTCATCCATATTATCCAACTTTTTATTAACATTAGCCAACTCTAAGCTAAATAACCTCGATATATTTTTTTTTAAACCGATTTTTTTTTTATATTTTTTTTCGGTTTTTTTTTGATTTTCCAATTTTTTTTTTCATTTTTTTTTTCAACCTTTCCAATTTTTTTTCAAATATTTTTTAATTTTCCTTTATAATCTATACTACATTTTTTTTTTATATTATTTATATTTGTTTTTTAGACTTGAAGCTTTTTTATTCTTAATATTTTTTTTTTCTATTTTCATTCTTACATTCTTTAGATTTGGATCACGATGCTGTGGTGCTACCTTTTTTTCCGATTCTTATTTTTAATAACAATTTCTTTTCCTGATTATTTTTTTGCCAAAAATTTTGTTCTTTCACCTTTTTCAAATATTATATAATATGCATGATTTTTAGTTATGATAGAATAAATATATTTTTTTTACTCGGTAAAAATAAAAATAAATTAACATAATTTTTTTAAATTACATAGATAAATTTTTTATTAATAACAAGTTATACTACAATAAAAGCGTTCAAGAAGAAAAAAAATATTTTATCATTTTATTATATTAACCAATATTTTTAATTGTAAAATTAAAAAAAAACTATTTCAACACATAGTCACTATTAAACAAAGGTAGGATGTCAAAATGAAAACACATGATGAGATTAATATCATAAAAATGCCAATTCTTCATTATTATTGGTAGCATCATGTGACTAAATGTTCGTAAGAAACGCTTTAATCACGTGATTTATTTTTTTTTTATTTCGCGTAATCAATTATTAGGAAAGAAAGGTTTAAAGTTTGGACATAATTTTTATTCGCATAAATTACTCGTTATTTGTATACCGTAATTAAACTTGTTATAATTCTTAAAATTCATCTTGGTGCGTTCCTACTCCATAGATACTAAAACTGAAAGTTTAAAGGAATTTTATTACAATTTTTAAATCTAAATTGAAATCAGAAATATATACTGTATGTATAAAGTTTAGGTGTTTTCATAATGGAACAATTTTTCTTTTTTATTCTTTAAATTTTATTATTTTTATTCCTTCATTTTAAATATATAGTATTTATTTATACATATGTAGTTAGGGATGGCAACGGTCGGTCATGGTCGGTCATTGGTCGGTCATAACCGGTCAAGAACCTTTGACTGACTGACTGACCGTTTGACCGACCGGTCTGACCGACCGGTTAACCGACCGTTTGACCAACTGGTTAACCAATCCTGAAAACGTTTGCGAAATGTAATTTAATTGAAATACTTAATAAAAAACGTTTTCGCAACATTTTCTATTAAAATAATTAAAAAAACGTTTGCGAAACATTTTTTTATTAAATTACATTTCGCAAACGTTTTCAGGATCGGTTAAACGGTCGGTCAAACGGTCAGTCAGAGGTCTTTGACTGACCGATATCGGTCACGGTCATGACCGGTCATAACCGGTTAATGACCGTGACCATTGCCATCCCTATATGTAGTACTGTAGTACAGAATGTACTGTATTTGATTGGTCATAAAATAGGGAATTCAATAATCAGATTAATAAATAAATAATTCATCATTATTTTGTCTGAAGACTAGATCACAGAAATCAAAGTATTTAGTTAGCCACCGGGTTTCAGATTTATTCTTGCAAGTTGCAACTTCAACTGAACGAAGCTTTAACTTTGTGCCATGATTAGCATTAAGAATGGGTTTATGATTTGATTTGACTAAACCTTTAAAGAAATGTAATTCGAATATCTACAATATCCTTTAAAGTAGGACAATAGAATTAAATATTAAATGTTGAAGATTCAAAAAGGTCACTTTCTTTGATTATTTAAATAATTTGGTTTAATACTAATTTTATTAGGTTATATATCATATATTATTTTCAAGTGTTATCGTATAAAAATATTATTATTATAAAATAGTTAAAAATTTTTTGTTTCTAATTTATTACTTCTTGTTTAAATATTTAATAATATTAATATTATTGTTACTTGTTTTTATTTATTATATTAAAAGGAGGGGCAGATCATCAGGCCAAGTATCGAAAACGAAAAGTAACGTATACATTACACAAAATTTTGTCTTTGATCAACTTTCTCTTTAAGATGCCGATCTTCCATGCTTTTACTAATTATGTAATCGTCTTTAATTTAAACTATTCCTTTTTTGTATTCAGCCGTATGATTAGTGAAAATCAGTTACTTAGTACGGTAATTCACACTAAATTGTAAAACGTACTATACTACCCTGCGGCACGTCGCAGTACTACAGCAACTTCTATATAGAATTCTCTAACTTTCATATTTAATGCTTTGTTAAATTTATTTCTTGAATTATAAAACTATGGACACATATAACAATTTATTTGATCCAACACCAAATTTAAACCCTAGTCCTATACCTGTTTTATTTATTCCTTTTGATAATGATGAGAATAAATGTAATTATTGTGGAAACGAACACTCAAAAACACTTAAATTCGAACAAAATTATTGCAAAAATTGTCTATCCTGGTATAATCGATATACAACAGGCAATAACGCATGCTTGGATATATATATTACAAATAATGTTAAGTGTACTGAACATGAAATAACTAGAAATGGATTTGATCCAACGAACATTCAAGAATGGTGTGAATATTGTTCTGAGGTTTCATACTTTAAACAAGTAATCCCAAATACTTCATCATTTAATAATCACTATTTATCAAGGAATTGTACTCATAATAATCATAGTAAAACAACCTGTCAATTATGTGAAATCATGTTGCAATCGTTCAATTATAGTCCAGATTATTATCAAATTTCTTCTGGATGGGTAGAATTATCTCTAACCAAAAAGTCCATTCCGATTTTATATTTACCATGGTGGGATATTTATGATCAATGTGTAGTATGTTCACAAAAACTAGAATATGTACACCAAAAGTCAGAATTAAATATAGAATTGTATTGTCAAAAATGGTGTTCACATTGCTTTACAATTTATACTGGATGCAGATATTGTTTAACAATAAATATTATTTTTGGAATTACAAATCAAACTCAATGTATTAAATGCAAAAAAATATCACCTATTAATATTGATATTACAAATATTATCAGTGGAAATTGTATTATAGATGAATTTATTGTTTCAACAAAATTAAATTACAATAATTTCCAGCCAATTGCTAATTATATAGATAATAATACAAATTTAAATCCATTGAATATATATGTGTTTATTAGAAACATGTTGTATTTAATAAGTAAACTAGATGAATGAGAAATAAAGTGGATTCCTCATTTCCAAATCGAAAATGAAGAGAAAATAGCAGAAGGAGGATTTAGTATTATTTATAAAGCAACTTACAGAGTCGGTATGAAGGATACAGATGTTGTTTTAAAAAAATTACGTGATTCACAAAATATCAGTAAATATTTTTTAAATGAGGTAATATTTAATGGTTAATATGTTTATATTCTTGTAACCTATTCAAAATTAATTTATATATTTAATTTATTTATATTTTAGTTGAAATCACTTTATCAATTAAACAATTGGTATTCTGTTATTAATTAATATGGTATCACCCAAGATCCTGTAACAAAAGAGTATATGTTGGTAATGGAATATGCAAATGGAGGAGATTTACATGGTTATTTGCAAAATAATTTTATAGAGGTTTCATGGAAGGACAAATTAAGTATTTTACGCTATGTTTCACTTGGGTATCTATATTATTTCTAATTTGTTATTTAATATTTTATTTTTTAATTGCTAAATTTTTTTATTTTTATTTTTTTAGACTTATGCAAATTCATAAAATTAATTTTGTACATCGAGATTTACATAGTGGAAATATTTTATTATTAGATCATGAAATGAAACTGGGAGATTGGAAAATTAGTGATTTAGGTTTATCACAACCTACAAATACCTTATCAAATAATGAAATATATGGAGTAATACCTTATATTGCACCAGAAATATTCAAAGGTTTTAAATTCTCAAAAGAATCTGATGTGTATAGCTTAGGTATGATTATGTGGGAACTTACAACAGGTTGTAAACCTTTTGCTAATATCGAACATAATTATAAACTTGTTTATGAAATTATTGATGGAAAACGACCTGAAATTTCAAATGATACTCCTGAATGTTATGCTAATTTAATGAAAAAATGTTGGGACTCTATTCCTTCAAATAGACCAACTATTGATGAATTTTGGAGTTTTGTTATAAAATGGTTTGATGAAACTTCTTATACAATTTATGCTGGTTTTGGTATTGCACCTGAATTTGTAGAAATTTTTGAACAAGCTGAAGAAAAAAGAATGGAATTAATACGATCAAAAAAACTTGGACCTGGATTTAGTAAAAAATCTCATTCAAAAGCAATTTATACAAGTAGAGAATTAAGTTCTTTAATTTATAAATCTTCAACTACAGATTCATCTCCAATGGTTACATCTAATATTACAAAAGGTATATCATATTATAATGGTTATATGAAACTTATGATCTTATTATCGTTATATTTATATTAACTTACAGTAAATATCTTTTATTGCTTATTTTTAGAATATATTACAAAATGATATTAATATGAATAATATTCAAAGGTAACTATTTATAATTAAAAAAAATTATGAATAATATATATATTTGAAAATAAAAATTATTTTAATTATTTTAGTTCACAAAATATAAATTCCGATGTTCAAAGCTCAATTGCACCTTTAAATTCTTCAAGAAAACGTAATATTGAAGAATTAAAGATCGATACTCAAAACGATAGTAAGTAAATGTACAATTATAATGCTTAGGGTTATATCATGGCAATTTTAAATTCTTTTTTTTTTTAATTAAATAGGAAAACATACTAAAACTGGATAAGACTTACAGAATATTATTTTGTTTATTTTGTGCAATCTACATTTTATATCTCATTTTATATCATATATATCTATAGTTTTACTTTTTTGTATTCAAAAATTTCTATAAATAACTGTATACTGTGTAAAAGAATTTAAAATTGAGATTACATTAGGAGGCATTTTCTTATATAATAGCGTTCCAAGAGGGTCGGCTTTGAGGATATATTTGAACTTGACCTGAATATAAAATAAATAACCAGATTAACATTCATATAACGACCCGACCTAATGCACAGGTTAATATGTATTTATCGCTGATTCAAAAAAATGTGACAATATCGATTTTAGTGTAACATAGCAATCTTACCCAATTAAAATTCACATTTTGATTGCGTGACTAGAACGAAAATTATTTTGAAAAAATGAAAAATCTTTTTTTTTTTAAATCTTAAAACCAATCAACTCTAATTATTTTATAATAAATCTAAACAATATATTATTTATAAAATGTTTAAATTAGTTTTATTGATTTTAAAAAGTATGTCAAAAATAATTTATTTCTTTAATTAAAATTATAGGAAACCTCATTTAGGTTAAAATCTTACAATTGAATAAATAAAATTTCTTCCTGTTTTACTTTAATATAATTTAGAAACATGAATAAATATAAATAATAAATGCTCACAAAAAGCTTTTCAGAGCTTTATTATATAAAATTTTGCAAAGTTACATCACGAAAGATCGTGGAAGATCATTTTTTTCATTTCTAAAATCTCTGTCAAATATGTGCACTAGTATATGTTTAAAACTTTTACATGGGTAAACTCAAAGAAAAATAGTCTTCGAAATAGAAAAAGATCGCAGTACTAGATAGAAAGTTTTCAGAGAAATCTTATAAGTGAAAAAAAAAATGACTTCGATTGCCGATCACTTTTTTTTTTTTTTTTGAATTGGTCTAAGTGACATTTAGAGATGGAAAAGTTTAGGTTGGGCGACCTGGGTTGATTTGTTCCATTTGGTTTATGCATTAGTTCAAATCTGGTTTGGTAAAATTTGATATGTACTGACTCGGGACAAAAACTGATTATGGAACTGAACCGGGTTTTCGGACACTTTCAGATAGGGATGCCAAAAGTTCGGTTATAACCGATCATAACCGGTTTTTACCGGTTCGGTTATCGGTTCGGTTTCAGTCCAAGACCGACCGGTTAACCGTCAGTTTTATATATAAAAAAAACCGATCAAAAAACCGATCGGTTAATTGTAAATTTTAATATATTCCGGAAAAAAAAAATGATTTTGTTTATTGAGAATACCATTAAAAACTATTGTTTTAGTGTTTTTATGTATAATATTCTCATTTTTGAAATTATCGAATTTACGCGTTGATCACGTGATTTTTCGTTTCTCTGAAAAAATCACAACATCGGCGTTATTGTTGTAAATAATTACATAAATTCAAAGAATATTATTCAAAAAGTTATAATTGATACTTTATGGCATTATTTTATTAGATTTTGCGGTATTTTTGTAATCGGTTTTGTAGTTCAGTTTTATCGGTCGGTTTTGCGGTCGGTTCGGTTTTGGTTGAAAACTGCAGTTTTAAAACCGAAACCGAACCGAACCGACCGTTGGCATCCCTACTTTCAGAGCAATAATTTCTTTGGAGTTTTTCATATTGCAAACTAATTGAATAGATGTTTGGAACATGAACCAGATATATGGCTAAATATTCGCCTGGTAATTTCAAAACTCAATATCATTGTTTCCAACAATATATCTATCATTTTTTATTAAAAAAAAGAAACAAGCGAAAAAATAGAGATGGAAGATTCTGACTTGTCAAATTGCGAAAAAGATTATGATTTAAATACAATGAAGATTTAAATGCGATTGTTATAGTATAGATTTTTAGATTAATCCTATATCACTTTTTTATATTCATTATAATGTCATTAATTTACGAACTTTATTGCAAAATTCTATATGTCCTGCAAGTGCTTATGACACCCTTCTGTTTTCGAAGATTCCAATCTCAAAATTTAGTTGCAAAATATTCGTATACGTGATAGTACATTACTACCCTAGGGTGCTGCCATCAACAACATTTGTACTATTTCTCATTCCCAACACATCACGGACAAGTAGTTATTCGATAGACAAGTTCCATATAGATATAAAATATCAACGCATGTCCTTAAATTTTTATTAAAACCATTTAAAAGAGTAAATATGTGTCATAGATTCAATTATTTAGATTTGTTTATAAATAAAACGTGACTATCAATTAGTTCCAAGTTGCCACTCGGCGAAAAAACTCTTCTGTTAATCGTTTGGTCCAAAATTTTGTAAGGAAAAATCGATGAATAAAAAGACGGGAAGTCCTATAAAACATAAGTAATAACAAGTGAAAAATGAAGTTCTATCTACGATAGAAAGAGTTTGAGGAAAGAGCGTTAATAAATATTAAGTACTTTATAAATAAAAATTTTAAAAATGTCAAGAGGAAGTCTTCACGCAACTTAACTAACGATATGGATAAAGTTTTTACCGTATGACAAATACAACTCAAGTATGTGAAGATATATGTAGAACACTAGGTTCAAGGAAAAAGTTAATGAGATAATTATAAGGAGTTGTGCAAGAAATATATAGAGAGTATAGAAAACGATATAGAAAGAATGGGAAAGCAAGCTCGAACCTTCGTCGCTGGCTGCGGGAGGCGCAACAAAATCCAAACCGCATGAGAATGATGACAAATTTCATATCAACACGGAAATTTATATACCAGATCCGTCGGAAATATTATTCCATGATTTTCTAGTAAGATGGTCAGGTGAGAAAATTGCACTCATTTTGAAACATTTATTGAATTAAATCAGTCAAAACGATTATGCGTTTAAAGAAGTATGATATAGAGAAGAAGTGAACACGAACTGTTCAATTTAAATTTGAAGGTAGACAGTAAACGTATTATATCAGATGGTTTTCGTCAGAAACGAAATTATTAAAAATTCGTGATGGATCGTTTATAAATAAGTACCTGATGTTGACAAGAATCTGGGATTGATGAAAATCTTCTCGAAACTTATATACGTAAAAGTAAAGATGGATAATTTAGAGATGAAGAAAGTTTGAGTAAGCGATCACGGATTCAATAGAGAAGGAAGGATCCGATGGAGTTTGGATAATTCCATCAAGAAAAAGTAAAGAATTTTAATAACTTTATTAATAGAGAAAAAAATAAAAATGGAAAAAGTAAAAATATTGGAAGAGCTTACCGAAGATGCAGTGGTTGACACAGTGAATAAATATAGGCAAGGAATTTTGCACGAAGAAACACCAAAAACTCAACCGATCAATAAAGAAGTACTTCCGAAAAGGTAGTAAGGCAGGATTGTACCAAGATTTTTCACCCCACGTGACCTGCATAAAATGTCACCCCGTGTCACACCCCACCGTAGTATTCTGGGGACTTGAAAATTTTTAGTGGTGAAAAAATAATTTTTCACGTCCCCTTAAACATCACCGATCACGTGGGGGTGGAATTTTACTTAGAAATCTTGGGGTCAATGGATTGTACAACGAGAGTCATGAGACTTCGCAACCATCTGTCATAATAAACGCGCAAGTTAATATAGGAAATAAAGTAAATGCAAATAGACAAATATAAATAAGTGAGTTACATAAATATATTAGTATATTACTCAAAATTAATTTGTATTGTTTTTTTTTTATTTACTACGCGTTACTAAAAAAAAAAGTTACATCTTCGGCAGCAATCCCTTTTACTTTCCGTTACATCTAATCTTCTAATGGGACGTGAATTAATCTTCGGCTTTACCTTCCTTTATTTAATTCATTAGGATCACATTTCAATATCTATGGCTTCTTGCGCCTTAATTCAATGTTTTTATGGCTTATTTCTTTTCCTTTTGCTCTTTTTTGACATTTTTTTATTTTACATTAAAAGCAAACAAGAGTTGTATAAGAATTACTATTACTATGTAGAAATTTCTTAGATAAATAGGCTCAGATAATTTACATTATTGTATCAGAAAAGGAAATTCTCTCAATATTATACCAATGCTACGATAGTCTTATTTTTATGATAACTTTGTTAAACTGTTTCGTTACAACTTACGAATAATAACTAGTGTAATGAGTAATCAATAAGGATACGATATTTGATATCTATTTGTAATACTAAGTATATATATATTATATATATATTACTAGGACCCCGAGCAATACTGAAATAGGTAACAAGAAATAAACGCGTAGAAATAACCATGAAAATCTTTCCTTTCTTAGATAATTTTCAATAATGTTGGTCAGAATTTTATTACTTATTTTAGTACTAGGTGATTTACATTGGCCCTGAAAAAATGCGTAGAGTTAATAGTAAATTTTGCTAATCTCCTATGACCTATTTATATATTGCTCGGGGTCCTATATTACTCTTAACTATCTAAATATATTGTATAAAGTTTTCAACCTAAAAAATTACTTTATGGATAAAATTACAAAAAAAAAGAAAATAAGTTTTGTCTAAAAATCTCCGCTGTTGAAGTATTATATGATAGTGGAAATCAAATGTATTATTATACTTAATTTGTTATCACGTTTGAAACTTAAAAAACTGATAATAATTTTTTTTTTTTACTTGTAATGTCAGCATTTAAATACTTTTAATTCAAATAATATTCTCAAAAATAATATATGACTTAAACGGGTTTCCAGATGTGTTGCATTCAAATGTGTTAAAATGGGTTAACGCTTTTGATGAATAATAATCATTTTAGATATTCATATATATTTATTAAAATTTATACAATTTAAAATAATAATCAAATGAATTATGAATAATTCATAAATAATTTTTTATTGTAAACACTAGTGTGTTGTTACATAATACTTTGCTTACACATAATATTTGAATTATTTAAATTACAAACTAAGAATCTTTTTACTACTCTAATCTTAGTGTTTAAATAATTCCAAAATAAATAATAAAATAATAAAAATGAATTTGTTTTCAAGCAAATTAATTTAAAATTCATCTAAAGAGAATAAATATATTAGTAAATAATATAATATAGTTTATTATTTTAATATTATTAAAAATATTAAATTATAAACAAACCATTGGGAGTTTCTTGTTTATCTTTTTCATCTGAATGAAGATTTGGATTATTTTGTACTTCATCTATATAAATAAGATTAGAATAATAATAACTGATCATTATTAAATAATTTATTTTACTTACCATTAATACTAATATTTGATTGTCGTTGCATGGATTCTCTCTCGTAGTCATTTTGAACGTCTACTATTATCAATAAATCAAACAACAAAAATATTATAAGAAAATTAGAATCGATATATAAATAAATATTTTAAGGCTTTACCGTTCTCTATTTTTAATTTTTTGGATAATCTGGGTGATTCTTTACTATAATTATCTAAAATTAAGATATACAGTAAATTAGTATTTATTTACTATAAAACACTAATAAGAATAAATTACCATTGGAACTAATTGGTATATATTGATTACTCGATTTACTAAGATTACCAGCTATAATAAAGTGAATCATTTAATATTTTATTGTATAAAATTCAATATAATTTTAATAAAGATTTTTACTGGGTGTGATCATCACCATTGGCCGGAATTATCAATTTTTACCGGCACTATATTTTTTAATGCTGGTCGATCGTTGTAATTTCAGTCACCGGTGATCATCACCCCGGTGATAGTTAGAAAAATTCTTTAATAAATACTTACAATTACTAGAAATACTAAAATCATATGATCTACTGATATAAAATGCTATTTAAAAAAAAAAAGAGATTATCTCAATCTATTTATTAATTAATAAAGGACGTATACTAAAACATTATTGTCATTATATTACCTTTTTGTTCTTCTATTATTATTTAATTAAAAAAAGGTATCGTTAATTATAATGTTAAAGAAAAAAATCAAATAGTTAATAAACATTAAAAAAGCGTACCTTCTGTTGCATTTTTTGGTTCAGGTAGATTTTTAAAATTATAAATTTTACTTGTAAATATTTTACTACTCATTATATTGCTTGTTTTTTTATCTAATTGTATTATTTGTTGAGGTAGTTCATCAGGTTTATTTTGATAATATGATTTAATATCGTTTATTTCATCAAAGAGTGTATTACTATCAGGTCTTTTTAGTGGATTAGCATCCCAACATTGTTCCATTAGACTTTTATATTCGGAAGGAATTTCTGATATAATTTTTGGTCTTATACCATCAATAATATTAAATGCAAGAATACAATCATGTTCATAATTCATAAATGGTGGTTGTCCAAATGAAATTTCCCACATAAGCATTGCAACACTATAAATATCAGATTTAAAAGTATATTCTTTTCTACTAATAACTTCAGGAGCTATGTAAGGAAGATTTCCATATATACTTGTTGATGGTTTGTCTACAGGGCCACAAAATCCAAGATCACTAATTTTCCATTGATCATTAAACTGTGAATATAATATATTTCCAGAATGCAAATCTCTATGAATTGAATTTTCTTCATGAATCCGATCAAGTGCATATATTATTTCGAAAGTAATTCTAATTCTTTCTTTCCATGTAAGTTGATAATGATTTTGTTGTAAATATTCTCTTAAATTCATATCAAACTTTGTCATTACAAGTAAATAATTTCCATTTGATGGATTTTGTGTTAAACCATGACATAGAACGGTAGATGGATATTTGTTGCCTAAAGTTAAATGTGATTTAGCCTTTAAAAAATAATAAATATTATATTATTAACGATTAAAATTTTAAATTTCCTTAAATATTTTTAACTTACAAACCTCTTCAAACCAACCTTGACTTGCATTTTCAACATTTTTTAATTCTTTAAGTATTACAACAAGAGTTCCAAATCTTATTAATTGTTGCTCTTTAGAATCCCATTCTTCATAGTATCCATCAATCCAATCTGCTGTATAAATCTCTGAGAATCCACCTTTTGTCAGGTATTTAATATTTTTTAAATTATTAAATGGGATCCATTCAATAATAACATCTGATATAAGTGTTTCCATTTGACAATTTTTTATTAAATCATCAATAACATTATTTCCAGAAGTCCAATTTAAAAAATTAGATTTTAAATAATTTCGAACACAATATTCACAATATAATGTAGCTAAACATTTTTGGTTACAATTTTCACAAATTCTTCTTGGTCCATCATTATAAATAATTTTATCTCGGTCATAAGATTTATTATTTAATCTTATTGCTTCAGTTTTTTCTTCTTCTGTAAGAGAATTATCAGCAAGGATTGTCTGTTGCATAAATTCATGTCCTTTGTGAAAGTCATTGTGGGTATTATTATCAATTAATACAAATGCTTTACTAAGTACTGCTCGTATTAATTCTTCCCGAATATTGGACATTTTTGTAAAAAAAAGAAATATTTTTAAGTGCAAAAAAAAACAACGTTTCTATAGACGGTTAAACAAATAAGTTGTACAACCACCAAAATTTTAATATTGTCTACCCGTCATGTATGGCGAGCCGTGCTTGACAAAAGCGTGCCGCATTTTACGGCATGTACAGCAGGTACGGCAGCACGACAAGTACGGCAGCAGGTACAGCAGTTACAGCGGCGCAAAAATATCATTCTTGATAGATATGCAGGAGAATCTTGATATGCATAATATGCATAATATGCATAATATATTTTACAGTAAAGTCTATCAAGAATAATACCTCATGTCTATCTTTTGCTAAAGCGGCAGGTAGCGCCTGATCGCGGCGCAAAATATCATTCTTGATAGATATGCAGGAGAATCTTGATATGCATAATATATTTTACAGTAAAATCTATCAAAAATAATACTTTTGCGATCGCGGCAAGTGCTGCAGCAGGGTAGCGCCTGATTGTGACAGATGCTTTTATACAGTAGTTGCTTTCGGTAATAGGCTATTTTTGGAAATTGGATTTTTGAGCTTTTTAGTATAGATTTACATTCATTTTCAAATTATTTGATTTTCTCAACATAAATGGTTAGGTCAATTTTTTTTCTGAATTGTTGGTCCTATACTACCATCTATACTGTATTATTAATTATTAAAATATATTTAGTCTACTTTTTGATGCAACATACATAACGCATCAAGTTATTAAGAAAGTGGTTTGGCATTTTTTCTTGAAATTTATATATAAAAATGCTAAAAAAAAAAACACTTTTTATATTTGTTTTTTAATGAAAAAAAAAAAAATGTTTGGTTTGATTTTTTTTTATTTCTTTTAATGAAAAACGTCTAGTTTGTCGTTTTTTTAATTAAAAAAAAACTTTTTTTCATTTCTTTTAATGACGTTATTTATTTTTTCTTTTCTTTTAATGGAAAAACGTCAGGTTCGACGTTTTTAATTAAAAAAAATGATTATTCTTTTTTTTTAATGAAAAAACTGAACATCTGATTCGACGTTTTAAAACTTTTTTTATTTTTTTTTAATGAAAAAAATGTTTCTATCTAATTATAACAATTGTCATATTTAGATTACCCTGTATAAATACTTTGAATTGTGTAATATTGAAAAATGTGATATTCTTGCGTCCGATCTGTTTTGTATTTATCATCATTTCATAAGGAAATTTGATTGACTTTTCTGAATACGATAACCAATCTTTAAACTAATACATTTCCAGTTAATTAAAATTTTAACTAGATTTATTTTATTCTGATGGATTAATACTAACAAAAAAAAGTATAATTTTTCTTATTAATTGCATTTTATTTGCGGTCATGATTAGAACTGTCATACAGCTTTTTCGATGTTTAGAGATTTTTGGATATTGTTTCTGACTAATAAATTCTCAAGAAAATGTTTTTTTAATTTTGTAATTAAATCTATAATAAATTTTTTGATAAATTTATATAACTAAAAAATTTGTCTGATGTTTGGATTATTCTCCATAACTGATAAATAATTTTAATTAAAACCCATGACATGCATCCGCCTGATCTATTTATGGTTAAAAACTATTCGATCCATGTGCATTCCAATTAACTAATCCAATTTCAGTTAATGAAATTTTAACAGTTAATCTTTTGATTATTAATTAGCTTTTTTGATTTCATTTTTTTCAAACCGAAAAATTTTTCGTCCCTTTTCTTCTTTCGGTTTAGTTTTTTTTTTAAACCGAAAAATTATTTTTTCTCATTCTTTTCCCATTTCATTTAATTTTTGAAAATTTTTTTTTTTTATTAAATAATCCTATTGTCTCGGTCTTTTAAGACCAATTTTTTTTATATTATTTTTTTTTCGATCTTTTTTTTAGACCGTATTATTATTTTTAAAAAATTTTTTTTTCACTCTTTTTGGACTGAATTATTGTCTGAATTTTTTTTAGTACTTATTTTTTTTCGGATTTCTTTTTTCAGAAATTTCCCTTTTTTTTAAACCGATTTCTTTCTTCATCCTTTTTCTTTCCCCAATTTTTTTTTATTTTTTTTTTTCTTTCAACTTTTTTTATTATTAAATAAAGAAATAAAATATTATATTAAATATATTTACAAAATTATTATTATTTTTTTTAAATCAATATAACATGTAGAAATTTGACCGACGTTGATATACATTGTAGAAACCTGTGATTTGTCAACGATTTAGAATAAAACATGTGACAATGTGATATCAGACGGTCTTGTGAAGCCGTTGATGACACGCTTTTTCGAAGTTGTAATACTTTAAAAGAAATATCTTGAATAAGTGGGTAAATATTATCAAAAATTAAATTCAAGGGATTTTTTCGATGTAGAAAATATTATTTGACGATACAATTCAGTTATTATTTATTACTTATCAAAAATAAGTATAAGAGAAATTAAACCATCTACTTTGCAAACAATGCTAACAATGCTAAATTTACGTACTTTAATAATAAAAAAAAAAAAAATTCCATATCGGGAAAAAGCCCTACCGCAGTTTGTTTTAACCTATTTTTTCTTCCTCTTTTACTTGCTATTTCCCTTTCTTTCCTTTTTTTCCCATTTTATTTCCTTTCATTCCTTCTCCTCTTTCCTTCCCCCTTTCCATCCTTTCTTATTCGTATTTTATTTAAAAAAAAGTGTTGAAAAACACCCACAAAAAGCAAATCCTTTAATAAAATGGATAAAAAAATTTTTTTAGCTGATCTTATGACTTTTTATTTATTTATTTTATAGCTCACGTGTTAGGTTAAAAATTACAAATATTATTGAAAGATCAAATCACGTGATTTTATCATTATTTTCCGCAACCCTGTAAACAAAAACTATACAAAAATAGGGTTCATGTTTCATTTCAGTGTTACCGAAAATGGATTTCCAAAAAAAGAAATGATTTATTATTAATAACAAGTTACGCTGATCATTACTATAATAGGAAGGCATGATGTTTACGCGTCACTGATCACGTGCAGCCACGAGTTCAAAAACACTAGGGACTTGAGGGACTTAGAATTTTTTCGTACCAAAAATTTATTTGTCACCCGTTATTTGTCACCGGGATTGGCGTAACAGAGGTGCATTCCAAAATATAAATAGAAGTGCTCATTATTTTGAAAAAATGAAAATGTTACTGTATTACCTGTTATATAAAAAAGCCTAGTATTTAATAATCTCTGAACCTTCTTGAAATATGGCCAAAAGTATCGAAGAATCAAATGAAATCTGCCATAATAGATCTTATTATGAAACAGCCATACGTAACGAAGAATTTGGCCATTGTAATAAATGTAGAAAGCCAAAAACTGACCATGATTGGTGTCAAAGTTGTTGTTCAGAACAATTTAAACTATTTGAATGGACAAGTGAGAATGAAAGTATAAATGATTTTGTTAGAAGAGCTCAATCAAAAGCGAGAAATCATTGGGAAGTTATAGAATGGATTCCATATACGAGATTAATAAATGTAAAATATCTCACAAAAGGTGGTTTTAGTACTATTAACAAGGCTATTTGGTTAGATGGATATATAATTTGTTGGAATGATAACAAAAATAATTGGAATAGAAATCGTTATAAACTTGAAGAAGAAGATTATTTAGATTATAGAAATGAAAAAAATAATATTGACTTAACTCTCAAGGAAGATGAAAAGGTCGGATTTCATGTTGTTCTTAAGAGCTTAAATAATATTAACGAGGATTCTTTAAATGAGGTAAGTAATTTAGTTTTATAAAAAAAAATAGAGCTTAAACTTGAGTCAAAACGACATAATGCTGACTGGAATAACAAAATGTCCGGTCAGTATGTTCTTCGAAATTCGAATAAAAAATTTCGCTCGAGTGCAAATCAACTTGAGTTTGAGTACATAAAAAGGGACGTCTAAGCGGAGTTAAATCGCATGATCATAATAAAGAATATTTGTCACTTTTCATGCTCGGCAATTTACTCCATTTTAGATAATCCTATAAAAAAGTTCATACTAACATCTTAATTTAACATATTAATATTTTAGTGGGAAAATTATTTAGAATTTTTATATTCAGCTATAAATAACTATGCAAATTTTGTGAGAGTGTTTGGGATAACTCAAGATCCAGTAACAAAAGTTTATATGGTCGTATTAGAAGAAATGAAGAGAGGGAGTTTAAGAGATAATTTATTAATAAAAAAATATAATCCAAATGATAAATATCATAATTTATACGAAATAGCATGTTCACTTTCAGCTTTATCCAAGTCTAGTATGACTCATGGAGATTTACATAACGGAAACTTGCTCTTAAAAGATGAATTCCATATATATATAAGTGATTTTGGACAGAGTAGACAATATAATCAATCAATTAATTCCAAGGATATTTATGGAATAATTCCTTATATGGCACCAGAAGTATTACGTGGAAAACCATATACTAAAGCTTCAGATATTTATAGCTTCGGTGTTATTATGTGGGAGTTTACATCAGGAGTTTCAGCATTTCATGATATTCCTCATGATTTTGATCTTTCTTTACAAATATGTAAAGGACATAGACCAGAAATTATAGAAGGCACAGAACCTGATTATGTAGAATTAATGAAAAGATGTTGGGATAATGATCCTAATAAAAGACCAACTGCGAAAGAATTATCAGAAATATTTGATGTATGGTCGGCAAAATATCTTATGGAAATGGACTATGATAAGAGAAAATCAGTACCGGGTAAGAAAGTTATTATTATTATTTTTTTTTTAAATTAAAGTTAATATTATATTATTTTTTGATAATGAAAAAAATTTTTTTTTATCATTATAGTACCTACTATTATAGAGAATCATCCATTATCCTGTTATATAAGCAGAAAAATCGATCATTATGCAAAATTAAATGAAATTTTAGATCAAGGAGAATTAAGTTCAATAATTGTGATTGATGAAGGAAAAGATAATATTGAATCAAGAGAAGATTCAGATGAATTAGGTAAATGTTGTTCATATATCGATTTTTTTTTTACTATTGAATAATTATTTATTATTTATTTATACGTTTTTTTTATTTTAGAAGATTTAAAGATTTAATGTTTATTGAAGTTTTTTTAACCAACTTCAGCACAAGATACTAAAAGTAGTAGGTAGATAATTTATGCGATATTAGCATGACTTGTATATTACTTGAAACTACTAATAAATAATAAAATTAACTGCGATCATGCATTCTCTTAATTCTTTATAAAAGAATAACTAGAGTCATACCCTAGGGCCGGTGACCCGCCCTTACTAAGAGTAGGATATATACCATAAATTTTAACACTTATTTGCAGAAACAATAATATTGGTAATAAATACAGTATATAATTTAATTTTTATTTGAAATAAATAAATAATTTATTTCATTTTTTTTTCATCTAAAATAATTTAATTTATTGTTTTTTTGCATTTTGATTTAAGATCCGATCCGCCTATGATCGACAGAAAATTACTATATAAATTCGGGGGAAATTTTATTGCAAAAAATAAACTAAATAGGCAAATTTTGCCAATCAAAATCACCACAAATCATGTTGTGGTACCAAGTCATGTGATGAAACTTAAAAATGCCAAGAAAAATATCGAGAAAAAATTTTCACATAGAAACTCACAATAAACGCTAAAATCTGACACCTACCATGTCTTAAATATTCATTATTCAGTAAAAATTGCTTCACGCATGAAAATTACTCAAATATTATTGTCAAAGTGATGGTTTTTTGGCTAAAAACAAGCGTAACTAACGTACAAATAGAAAAGATCTAAATGAAAAATTTAACTTAAAATAACATATCTGCTATATAAATCCTTCTAAAAAGCCATTATTACCTATTGTTCTGGTAATTGTATGTTATTTTTTTTTATATTATTGTTACAACACTTTCAAAAAGCTAATAATAATTTGCAAACTAATGCTAAGAGTTTGTGTGATGCACTCAAATTGAAAAACTAGATAAGAATATATATACCAAAACTTCCACCATTTGAAATTAATTTACAGGTTACTCCTCATGAAAATAGAAAGAGATCATAGTAACATGTGAACTAAAAGCAAGAGAAAATATTAGAATTATATAAAACAAGTAGTTTTAAACGTATAAAATACATGAGAACATAATTTTAAGTGTTCATATTTGTTAAAATAACGTAATATATGACTTGAAATTCTCGCATATATATATATACACCTGTCAAATCTGACGCTGCCTCAAAGTAAAGTTTAGAACAAATAAATAAATTTCTCAATTTTTTTTTATTTTTTTAATCTTTGACATTTAAGGAATCATCATGTGAATTTTGGTGCCACAGCATGATGATCTGCGGTTTTTATAGCCCATAAAATTTAGCCAATTTTGGCATTTTTATAATAACTTCACCCCAAATTTATATAGTAATTTTCTGTCATTCGTAGGCGGATCAGCTCTTAATAATAACCTTGTAATTGGCTTTAAAAAAAGAAATATTATGAATTTTTTTAATTTATAAAAAACATTTAACAATTTTTTTTTAAAAATTTTTTTCAGTTTCTAACCATGCTGTAGTAAACTTTTTAAAAATTTTACATAAAACGTATATTATAATTTATATTCATATTCAAAAATAAAATTATTCAATAAAATTTATTTCACACGAATCAAATTTGGACAATTCTATGTCCACATTTTTTTTTATTAATGTTTTTTGATAAATAATTTTTTTTTAGTATATAATGCTTTTATTTTAATAAATAAATTTATATAATGTTTTTTTTTAATAAATAAATTCAATTTTTTTAGTAAAAAAATTTAATAAATTCGGGTATATAATTTTTTTAATAAATCAATTCATGTAATATATACTTTAATAAGTAAACTCATTAATTTTTTTTAATAATTAAATTTGTATAATGTTAAACTCGTATACCCAGTAAAAAGTATTTGTCAAATTTTCGTATAAAAAATGTAATATATTTTAACATAACAAGTTTAATACAATTATGAGCATCCATTTATACAAAATTTGTAAATGATTTGTAGCAAACTCGTAATACTTTTATTTAGCATTCGAAATACATTTGTATATATTTTGTTTTACATATGTATAAATTATATAGAATGTAATATATTAAAGTATAATATATTAAATATGTACTAATTTATAAAATATCAAATACATAGATAAATATATTAAATAATGTTATACCGCTTTACATTTATGACCAGGATGTTTTGCTGGAGGAATTCTGATAGTTTCAGCATCTTCAACACCTTTCTCATCATCAGGTGGTTGTGCTGCTTTAGTTTTACGACCAGGACGTTTTGCTGGAGAAATTCTGATAGTTTCGACGTACTCAACACCTTTTTCATCATCAGGTGGTTGTGCTGCTTTAGTTTTACGACCAGGACGTTTTGCTGGAGAAATTCTGATAGTTTCAGCATCTTCAACACCTTTCTCATCATCAGGTGGTTGTGCTACTTTAGTTTTATGACCAGGATGTTTTGCTGGAGGAATTCTGATAGTTTCGACGTCCTCAACACCTTTTTCATCATCAGATAGCTGTGTTATCTTACGTTTACGACCAGGATGTTTTGCTGGAGGAATTCTTACAACTTCAACGTCTTCAATAGCTTCTTCTTTATCAGATGATTGTGTTATTCTATGTTTATGGCCAGGACGTTTAGAATAAGCTGGGGAGACATCAACGGCTTCTAATAATTCTATTGTAATATATTTTATATATTTAGTTGATTACATATGTATTAAAGAATCTATGAGCTTACTCTTACTCGGTAAAGATTTATTATTATCAAGCCTTTCCAAACTTTCTATATTCAGGCTGTTGGATACCAATAATGGTTCTGTTTGATTGGTAGTAATGTTATTAATTTGATTCATTTTAAAATATTTCATCAAAATTAAAAATTACCACGATTTTTTGTTAATAGTTCATTTCCTTTTTTGGCTCTTTTACTATTACCATTTGGTTTTCGGATCTTAGCTTTATTAACAGAAATATTTGTCTTATGCATTTCACTAAGATTAAGAATTGACCCTATAAAATGTTGAAAATTTTAGTAAAATAGCAGAATAATGACAAAACAATATTAAATTAAGATAAACTTACGTCTATAATTTATATGTTGACAAATCATCTCACGTTCCGCCCAATCACTAACAGTTTCTGGAAAGGATGGATTTTTTTTGCAAAACTAAAGCAAAATAAATAATATTGCATTAAACTAGTCAATTAAACAAAATATAAGTTTATTTACCTTGTCAATGCATTTATTAATTTCAATAATTGGCATATCACGATATTCAATAGTTGAAAATAAATGATAAAGTTTTTCAGCTACAATAAGCCTCATAGATTCCTATAATTTTTTAAAGTTAGATTATTTACAAAAATTTAATGTAAATTAAACAACATGTACCATATTACCATATAACCATGCCAAATCCTTTTTGGAATGTGAAGAAAAGAAGGAATCTTTTGATAATTTATATTTTTCTTTTTGAAAATTGGCTATTATATATTTTAAAATAATAAATAAAAATAACAATAAAATGTTATATTTAAAATAATTGCCACCTGTTTAGGTTCATCACTAGAAAATTCAGTATCATCTTCTTCAGAGAGGGTTGGCTGACTTTTATTATTTGATTTATTATTAAAAGATTTATCCTTTAAACGACTTTGATTTGATAATCCTTTTGTTTTATTTGTTATGGCAAAAGATTCTTTATCTACAAGTTATTGGTTCGATTTTCTCTTTGTCTTTTCCTTTTTCATAGAAGTATTTTCAAGTTTCATAATTTTTTTTTTAAGTTCTGCAATTTTTTTCAATGTAGATTCCTTTTCACAATTAATAAAAGAACCACCATTGGAATTGGAAGAACTATCAGACATTTCACTATTATTATATTCCATTATGGAGAAAATATTTATTTTTCGAAAAATAAAAGTAATGAATCCTGGGAAAATAAAACTTTTAAAATAAAAAAGATCATATGAATTATATAAACTTATAATACGTCATAATTATTTAAGTTAAATTCTTATTGCATAACTATTTTTAATTGGTTCAACATATTTATACATTAAATATATATACATACCCAAATGAAATACCCTCGATAATATTTAATTTGTCATTCCATGTAATGTTTATAAAATTCTTTTTCAAATAACTATGTAAATCTCCACCTTCTGCATAATCCATTATCAGCATATACTCCTCTGTTACAGGATCTTGTGTAATACCATAACACATAATCACACCGTAAGCTTTATTAAGTTGACAAAATGATTTTAACTAATAAATTATAAATATTTTAGTTAAATTTTAAATATATTACAAAATCCAAAATATTAATATTTAAATATTACTTCATCTAAAAAATATTGTGAATCACGTAATTTTTTTATAGCAACATCTCTATCAGACGAACCATCAACCAAAGTTGTTTTATGAACAATACTAAATCCTCCTTCTGCTATTTTCCTTAAATTTGTAATTTGAGAATATGGAATCCATTTTATTTTTAGTCTTATTGTACGCAAATGTTTTATAATAAATTTATATACTTCAAATGGAATAATATTTGTATTATTATTCATATAATCAGCAATCGAATGTTGTTCATTATTGTCAAATATTGTAGAAGCAAGAAATTCATCTATGATATAATTTCCACTGAACATATTTGTAATATCAATAATAATAAATAATATCCTTTTACATTTCATACATTGAGATTGGTCCGTAATTCCAAAAATAATATTTGTTGTTAAACAATATCTACATCCAGTATAAATTACACAGCAATTAGAACACCATTTTTGATAATAAGATTCTGAATGTTGGTGTATGTATTTTAATTCTAGTTCACAAACTAAACATTTATTACAATTATCCCACCATGGCAAATTTAGAATTGAAATAGACTTTTTTGTCAAAGTTGATTTAACCCATCCAGAAAAAAATTGATAACAATCTTGGCCATTCTTAGATAAATATGATGACCATCGTTTATCACATAATTCACAATATACTTTGTCATGAGTACAAAACAGTGATAAATAGCTATTATTGAATGACAAAATATTTGGAATTACTTGTCTAAAATATGAAACCTCAGAACAATATTCACACCATTCTTGAATATTCATTGTATTAAAATTATTCCTATTTACTTCATGTTTGATACACTGAACATTATTTGTAGTTATATATGTATCCAAATATGTATAATTGCCCGTTGTATATTTATTATACCAAAATAAACAATTTTTACAATTTTTTTGTTTAAATTCAAGTGTTACAGAGTATTTATTTCCACAATAATTACATATGTTCTCATCATTTTTAAAAGGAATAAATAAAACAGGTACAGGACTAGATTTTAATCTTGGCGTAGGATTAAATGTATTATTATCTGAGTTCATAATGTTATATTTCAAGTAATTTATGTAATTCAACTTTTAAGTAATTTATAAAAGTCGAAACAAACGGTAATTATATAATTATGCATGTTGACGATCATCGGTTATTCGGTTTGATAAATTTCATAAATTTCCCAACATAATTACATAATTCCAATGTGTCCGATCGACGATAATGTTATTGCTATTCATAATTTCATACATAGAGAACAGGAAAACGGACAATTTCATATCACAAAAATATACGTGCAACTGTAACGTTTACATTAGTTTGTATGAATTAATTTTGAATTGCTGATCCGTATTCCTTATTAGTTAAGAGTCGCCTGATCGGCAAGTCCGTGTTGTATATCTAATCCAATTCCGGTTAATGAAATTTTAATCGGAAATTTATTTTTCTTTTCGAACCAATCTGAATTTTTTCGTTTTTTTTTCTTGAACCGATCTATTACTTTCAGTTCTTTCTTTTCCGTTTTTTAAAAAATTTTCATTTTTTTTTCCTCTTTCTTTTTCGGTTTGGTTTTTTTCCCAAATTGAATTTTTTTTTTCGGTGTCTTTGGAGTGTCTTTGGACCAAATTTTTGTCCTTTTTTTCAGAATTTTTTTCGGCACTTATTTTTTTTTCGGATTCTTTTTTTTTCCGAAAATTTTCCTTTTTTAAACTGATCTCTTTCTTCTTTTCACCAAATTTTTTTTTCGTCATTATTTTTTCAAATTTTTTTATTTTTATTTTTTGTTTTCAGTTAGATCTAAACTAAATATCCAAAAAAGTTTTTATAATAAAATATCTCATATTCAATATTTATTTTTTATGTCGGTGAAATGATTGTCGGTGANTTTTCCTTTTTTAAACTGATCTCTTTCTTCTTTTCACCAAATTTTTTTTTCGTCATCATTTTTTCAAATTTTTTTATTTTTATTTTTTGTTTTCAGTTTTTTTCCGGTTTGCTTTTTTCCAATCCGAATTTTTTTTTTCCCTTTTCCTTTTTCTGTTTGACTTTTTTTTCAAACCGAATTTTTCTTTCCCGAATACATTCTTTTACCAATTAGGTTTGGATCAGTGATCAGATCGATGCTGCGACGCCAACAATAAATAAATAAGTAAATTACTGTATGTCAGTCTATTATTGAGTTTGATGCAGCTTAAAAAATATTATTATTATTAATAATAAGAATCGGGAAAGGGTCGCGTTTAACTCACCGACAATTACTTCACCGACAATCATTTCACCGACAAACGTTTCACCGACATATATAAATATATATATATTTGTTAGCAACGCGCATTTCTTTTATTATTTTAATGAAATTTATAATAACATATATAAAAAAAAATAAAAAAATACAATAGATATAACTATATGTTATTCTATCTACTAACCGTCTAAGATGGAAGTAAGTATTAATACTTATTAGATCTAAACTAAATATCCAAAAAAGTTTTTATAATAAAATATCTCATATTCAATATTTATTTTTTATGTCGGTGAAATGATTGTCGGTGAAATGAACCAGACCCTCGGAAAAAGATAATTGCCGTACAATAGATCATTTTAATTAATTTTTCTGGAGAATTTTTTTTTTCATAACAATAGATCGTTATAATTAATTTTTATGGGATTTTTTTTTATATTAATTAATGAGATATTATTTTTTCTATAACAATAGATTGCTATAATGAATTTCTTTGAGATATGCTAACAATATATATGCATTTTTTTCAATAGAAGATATAATTTTTTTAAATCTACAATGGAATCTTTTTTAAGATAAAAAAAAATGACTTTTTTTGTAACAATGTAACAATAAACTACTTACACAAAATTGTTTTTGTAATGAATTTGTAAATATATAAATAAATCATAAATTTCACAGTAACCGCAACATTTGTTTCGTGCGATAAATAAAATTTGCGTTTAATAATAATATTTCATATACTGTATAACGCTTGCACACAATTCATTGTTATTTGTATGAGCATATAAATTGTGTAATTTATTTCATTTATTTCCTACTAATGCCATTATAATAATAGTAAAAAACTACTAGACCTAGAGCGTTCTCAAGCACCTCAATTGATAGACTGATGAACGATCTGATTGGCTAAAAAAATATCATAGAGTTACCATTTCGATGAAAAAACAAATGAGTTGCAAACCACCTTTTTTCTTCAATGATCTACAATTGATAGAGTATTCTTAAGCTCGTACACGATTTTACATATTTTTTATAACACTTTTTCGTTATTGTACCTCACGCTCTGCTCTTTAATAATGAATTCTCAACAAAATTCTCTTCAATGTAAAAAAATTATTGTTTTACTTTTAATGCAAGAATTTTTTAAAAAGAAAAATAGAGTTTTCAATGCAAATACACACCTTTTAACTTTTACTCAAGTTACATCAAATGCAGCTTTTCCATATTTTACTCATCTGAACTTGAGAGCTTCTCAGCAAAAAAGGCCTAAAACTGAGTATTGAAGCTTTAGAACATTCCTTTAAAGTAGGACTTGCAACACTAGAGTTTTGTATATTTGAAACAATTTTATCTGCCATTTTTTCTTGATCTTTTACCTTTTGTAAGGCTTGTTGACATTGTTCAACCTCTTTAATAAGCATTCGGACCTCTTCTGAAATCCATCGATTTGTTGATTTATTAGAACCTATTTGTGTATCAGAAGTAATAGGCGAAGGTAAGGTCACTTGTCCAAAAGCTCAATAGGAATAGCAGTAGCCAGTAGGGGTATCCTAATTATTATAATAGAAGAAGATGCCTACAAAAATGAAAAACCAATAAAACTTTTACTTTTTATACAAATAAACACTGCTGTTAAAAAGAATTTTCTTTACTTCTTGTTGTTGCGTAACAGCTTTGCTTAGAGTTATAATTTGATTTTGCTGCTGTTGCAACAAGAGATGAATGTTTGTAAGATCATTAAAAGAAGTAGTATTAAAAGTTGGTTCAATAACCGGGTTGGTAGAATTTTTGTTTTTGGTGGGTCTAATTATCTGAAAAAATTCGTAACCAAATGAAATCATGTAGCTAAAAAAAAAAAGCTTTCTCAAGCTTTTAATTCTATTGATATTTCCATTGATTGTGATACTTGAGCACAATGACATCATCATTCAATCACATTGAGGGAGATGCTTGAGAACGCTACTATTCACACTGCACGGCAAATAAGATATAAGTGTATAATTTGATCGTTCACGAGTACAAAAATGTTAATAAATTTGTTCGCGCCACATCATACCATTATTAAGCACGTCCGTACAATAACATACAATTACAAATATTTTTATTCGTAAAAAAAGACCAATGTGAATACCAAATATTTTCTTATAAGATTTTTTTTATATTTTTATCAAGTTTATAACAAAAATAAAAATATTACTTATAATTATTATCGCCTCTATTATTACTCTCTCACTTGATGGGCAAGTATCATCCCTGCCGTAACGTGACAGGTTACGCCTAGTTTATATTGAATTTATATAAATTAGTATTAGTTGCATCATATGAATTTGATTTTAAATAATAGTCTATCTAATT